GGGAGAGGGAGAAGCAGGCTTCCCGCCGAGCAGGGAGCCCGATGCGGGGCTCGATCCCAGGACCCTGGGATCATGACCTGTGCCGAAGGCAGATGCTTAACGACTGAGCCACCCAGGCGCCCCTAGGATCTTGTTTACTTATTGACTGTGTCCCCCACTAAGACCCTAAGCTCCTGGAGCGTGGGGACCTTGCCTTTGGACATCTTTGTGTCCCATACCCACTGCTGTATCTGCCAGATATTAGCTCAACACATATTTGTCAAGTGAGGGAACAAACTCAGGCCTGACTTTTTAAACAGGGAGTCATGACTGGGGATTTTAGAAGCTCATACCATCCTGGGGGGAAGGTTTGGGAACTGTTCCCAGACCTTCCTTCCCCACTCTCCCACCAGCCTCTTCCTCAGCCTACCTCATAAGAGGTTCTCCAATCCTGGGGGGGGGCGGGTTGAGGCAGCCTCGAGGGAGTCACATGACTCCTGTGAACATTCCATCAACCTGAGCCTAGGAGGAAAGTAGCCTTTCAGCATCTCAAGATCTGGTCTGAAGAAGAGCTTGAGGCTGAAAAACACCACACCAGCAGGGCCCCTTACCCTTGCATAAGCTGCATACAGGATGGTGCCACACTGGGTCTCTCCACTCCCCGAAGTGAGTTCCAGGCTTTGTGGCCTGGCCTGTCTATTCTGCTGGGAGGTCCCCAGAGACCCAGGCCTTCATTTCTCAGGTTGGGTAACTGAGGACCCAGGTCACAGGGCAGAGCCTACAACTAGCCCCAGTCCAGGGCACTCTCCCCTGTTCTTGCTTGCTCAGCCGTTTTCTCAGTGTTTGTTGTGTGCTGCCGCTAAGGCTAAAACGCAAGGCCCCCTGTCCTCCGTGTGTGGCTCATCCTAACTGCCGCTCTGGCTTTAGAGAAGGGACTCTGCTCTTGTGTGCCCAGCAGTGTGGACAGCCCTCCCTGAACCCCCCATGACTCAGCCAAGACCAACCTGCAGTTTCTGATAGAACCATCGTAAAGCTTTAGGGACCACATGAAGGAGTACTGGAGGGGAAAGGGCCACTCTTTCGGTCAGGCCAGACCCCTCCTGTGGGTTCCCTCATAGCACAGCTTCTTAGACTATTAGGTCCAGACCCATCAGTGGATCATGATATCCACTTACTGGGTTACAAACAGCATATCCCCCTCCCAAAAAGAGAGAAAAATATCAGTGTGCTTATTAAGGAAGTAAGGTAGGCATAGTTTCATGAAACTGTTGTTTGGAGTATGAGTGTGTGCATATGATGTGGAATGTATTTCTTCCTGGGGTTATGGTCAAAACACTGTGGAAAATGTTTCTGGAAAGCTACAAACCCAAGTATCTGCAATCTACCTCCACATGGGAGGTCAGCTCACAACCCTTACAAGTTCAGCTCGACACTCAATATACCTGAAGTGGGAGAAGGGGCCTATGCTTTTTACATTTCCATTATTATAAAATTCTAAGTCAGGGATGTTTCCAAAAGTAAGATGTATTCTCCACTTGAAAGAAAATTGCCTACTGTTTTTGAGTGACAGTTTCTCCAGTTTCTACCTAACCCCATCTGCACAGTCTTACAAGCCCCCCAAGCACCCTGTTCCAGGGATCGTCACCAGTGAGGGTGTCTCAGCACGTACTACTTGCTCAGCTTCTACATGCATTACGTGTATGGGCTCATTTAATCATCACAACCCTAACACCTACGTGCTTGGTGCAATCATTATCCTTATGTTTCCCTAAGAGGCTAGATGAGCCAGAATTTGAATCCAGGTGACCTGGCTCTCCAGCCCAAGCAATGATGTCCACTGTCACCATGAGCACAGTGCTTTACAGTTTCCATATCAACTCACATGACTCACTCTGTGAACCCAGCCGCAGAGGTAACTCTCAATCCCATTACACATTTGATGGAACAAGGTCCTCAGTCACCTGAGAAGCTAAAGTTAGTCCTAGGTCTCCCAGCCATCCAGTCAGGGCTCAGTCATCTAGAGCCTGAGGTTTCTCTAGATGACAGTTAGTGTGTGGCTCGCACATTTGCCCTGCCACTGTGGAGGGAGGCAGCTGCTGAGACCCAGTCGCATAGGGCTCCTCAAAGGGCAACAGACTCTCTCGTGATGCCATATCAGAGTGAGGGGTCAGTCAAGAGAATGGGCACCATCTGTGGGAGCTCCCACTGCTGCTGGGGCAGAGAGCACCCTGGCATGCCAAGAAATGGCTGAATGCCTTGAACCCTCACTTCCTGGGTCAGGGGTCGGGGTGAATGGCCTGTCCTCAGAGTAGTCAAACCCCTCCCTGCCTCAACACCACATCCCTTCCCTCTCCTTTCCCAAAGAAGTCTACATGATGCTTCATTATAATGAGTGTTGTCCACCTGAAAGAAGGATTGGCAGTGGGTGTGAATTTATCCATTCTCATCTGGTTCACAAGACTCTGTCTAGCTGAATGACCTAAGGTAACAGCAATCAAGTGATAGGGAATTATAAATTGAATTTTTTTTTTAAAGATTTTATTTATTCATTTGACAGAGAGAAAGAGAGAGAGAGACAACGAGAGAGGGAACACAAGCAGGGGGAGAGGGAGAAGCAGGCTTCCCACCGAGCAGGGAGCCCGATGTAGGGCTCCATCCCAGGACCCCGGATCACGACCCGAGCCGAAGGCAGATGCCCAACGACTGAGCCACCCAGGCGCCCCTATAAATTGAATTTCTAAAGAACCTTTTTTCTTATGTCATCTCACTTATTCCTAAGACCTGCCAACATTTTAAGCCTATTGTTCTGTGTGGTTTGGACCCACAGCCCACATGGCTGTGGCCATCTTGGTCTGCTCTGGGTCCTGGGACAATCTCTAGTTAAAAATATGGTGGATCCACAGGGCAACTGGGTGGCTCAGTTGGTTGAGCATCCGACTTTATTTTGGCTCAGGTCATGATCTCCAGGTCCTGGGATTGAGCCCTGTGTCAGGCTCTGTGCTCAGTGGGGAGTCTGCTTGAGATTCTCTCCCTCTCCCTCTGTTCCTACCCCTGTTTGTGCTCTCTCTCTCTCACTCTAGAATAAACGAGTAAATCTTAAAACAACAACAATCTGGTGGATCCTCAAGTGTTGAAATTGAAACAGACAGAGCCTCCACATGTCCCCCCAGAGAAATGTGTTGGACTCTCTACTTAGTGGAAAGCA